AAAAAAAAAAAAAAAAAAATCCACCGTTGTGCTTAAGGATAGCCGATTTTCAAGAGTCACCTTTGATTTCCGTTACTCCTAATGTTCTGGACAGAGCCAGATTTAATGCTTTCCCTTGGCTTCTCAATAAATAAATAAATAAATTCTGGCAAGCAAAATAACCAAAAAACAAAACAAAAACAAACAAACAAAAAAAGGCACTCCAGTCATCAGAGCATATTCTAGATTGTACCTGACCTCCTTCAGGGATGGAAACTTGGCTGTCTGTCTGTGCTACCTGGAGGCAATTAAATAAAGCCTGCAGAGATCACTGACCACGCTTAAAAAAAGTGTCGTGCTTCTAGAATGTTTTGGGCTGAGTCATTCCTGGCTTGAGAGGAGCTCGGGTCCCAATGGGGTTAACGTAATTCATGGAGAATATGAGAGATGCTTCCCGCTGTGCAAGCCATGGTGACTGGAAAAGGTCATTGTGAAATAGTAGCCTTTTTATTTGAAAAAATATATGTGTTTGTAACTGAAATAAAATCCCTGTCGGCATCTTATTGTACATGAGTTAAAAAAATGACAAAAGAAGTCATTTCTCTATCTTGGTTGGATTTGGGGAACTTCTTGGAAAAACAGTGTCCAAGTTTTATCCTCCTTGTTGCTTGCTTTGTTATATCACCTCGTATGTTATTATATCACCTCGTACATTATTTGGGCATTATTCTGGCATTTATTTCTTACATGAGTAAAGAATTCCAGGAGCCTTCCAAGTCTTCTTCAGGATTTTCTCCTCAATACAAAAACACACAGATTTTGTACTGACTTAGTAATAAAGATTAAGAGTTCATTCAAATCGGGGACGTGTTGTGGCAGCATCAGGGCAAAGCCTGGTCTGGCCTTTTTTTCTTATGTCTTTCTCCCATCATTTGACTTACATAGTTTTGTCTCGCCTCAAATGAAAGACAAGGTGGAAGGAAATTTCAGAGAACCGCTAGAGGCCACTAGAAGTCTAAAATAATGGGCTCAGTGTTGGGATAAAACGAGAAAGCAATACATTTTTTTTTTCTGGAAGAAAAATGCAGTTCTTCACTGATAACTGATATTAAGCCCGACACTTGCTTTGCTTGTTGCTTTTTCACAGACTACATAAAGTCAGAATATACCAGAATATTACTTCTGCAATTTCAGTGATTTTTGCAGAGCAAGTGCACCCACCTGGGGAGCAGAGAATCTCTGCTATAAAAGGACCTAAAGGATACTTTGAAAGCAGCCCAAAAGTCATCCTCTTGGCTAAAATTATTACTTGATTTTACCTTTAGCTTTGATTTTCTTTCTCCAAAGTGACCCTGCCTTTAACCTTCTTGAGACTAAATGAACAAAGATTATTTTTAAGAACTTAATTAATCAAATGTGGTATGTAAAATGCAATCTTATCTGGTACATACCATCTCTCCATCCTGGTTATTGCATTTTTAAGATACCAGTCACTCGGATATGCAATCATCTCACAGGAAACAGATTTTGCATAATAACAGTGAATACTGAAAAACCCTTGGCTTAAATGGAGAAACAGCAACAGCCAATTAGTTCGTGCCTAGCAGTTTAGCAGCAATTACACACGGGCAGACCAGCAGTGAAACTGTAAACATGGGCATTCTAAGGCAGGTTGCCAAATTGAAGGGGACAGATTTTGTTTACCTCGGAAGCCAAAGAAACTGGCCACCAAATGCAGGGAGCAAGAGCAGGTATATTCAAGAGCCCCTTAGGATGATGCTACCAAATTGTGAGACATACAGGTTTGCTTTTCCAGACTGCAAAGACTGAAACATCTGGAACCACTTGATTTTTTTTTTTTTTTTTTTTTTTGTCCCCATTGCTTCCTCTTTTACAACTATATAACCCTAAAATTTAAGGAGATCGAGCATTAAAAAATCGCGAGCACATATTTGTGCCATGCAAAAGGTGATCTGTAACTTGTGAGAGCTGCAAAAACAACCAAGTGAAGCTGTCAAATCAGTCAGTGGCATCAGGCATCAGCCTGAGTTCAGCAGTATTAAAAACAGCTCTGCATTCAAGCCTGTTCATGCCCCAAGTCCCTCAGTGACTACAGCTTATGAACAACACCATTGTGGATTTATTTGGCATGATGTTTGAGAATACATCATTGAAGCTGATATTTTCAAAAAGAGCTGAAGTTGTTAGCTGCAAATCCCCTGTAAAAATCTCCGTGATAGATCTCTCTGAAAATCCCAGCCATTAACACTTTGAGTCTTTTCTTTCCCATGATTTCAAGAAATGATTTCACATTCCTATTATGGGGCTTCCAAAGTGGGCGTTTGGGAGAAGGATGCATTTGTTTCTCTCATTCGTTTAGCTAATAGGCAAAAAGCTGAAAAACCTCCATGTAAATTTTTGCCCCAAAATGTGTTGTTTCAATGTACAGGACCTCTTGTAGCAGCAGCGTGCTGCTTGCTCCGGTTTTCTCTCCTTCCTGGCAGGACGTGCAGTGTAGGAGTGCTTTGCTGACTTAAAGGACTCTAGCTTCCCAAAAGCGTGGGCCAAGGGATCCTGACGCTTTGTGTGTCGCCAGCCAGATCTTCCTAGAAACCATGTTAACAATATTCTTAAAATCCTGATCCAGATAACCAAAGGCACTGATTATCTAAGCTGAATCCACTCTGATATGCTCATGAGCACCGTTCCAAGAGCACAAGTCAGCTTTCCCGTGCACGTGCATCCCTAACACAGGCTGCGAGTTGCCAGGTAATATTCATGGGGTTAAATAATCACTTTTGGCTCCCAGCTCTTCTAATTTGTTAAGAGGAGCAGTAGGTTTGGAACTGCAGTTTCTATAAGCTTTACTTACGTAAGAAACCCCACTGACTGCTTGGTGTAATTCAGCCAGAGAACTTCATGTGAGCTACGCAACCAGCATATTTATGCTCCAGGCTGAAAATTAGCATTGG